GAGTCACCAAGGATTTCAAAAAAAGGCACTCATGAATAAGTTGGAAGGAGTGGGTATAATGAAGAAGAAGACTATATTTATAGCCTAGGGTTTTTAAAGAGGGAAAAATCCAAATTAAAAATTATGGGCTCTCTTAAAATCCTAACAAAAGTGTGAAAGATTTGAGATGCGCACCAAAGGAAAAATACATCATGTAGAGAAAGAGTCGTCTAGCAAAAGAAGTCTTCACCACATGAAACTCAAGATGTAAGTTAATGCACCCTTCTCCAAGTCTCCTTGGACACGGGGTATTGGGGGACAAATGATGGGTCAAGCCCAAATAACCTAATTTATGTGAGAAGTCCAATCCCAATTGAGGAGCTCAACCTTATGAAAGATCCATCAAACTCAACATAGTTCAAGATCAGTCAAACTCTCTGCTTGACTACGTCATCAAGAGGGAGAGCATAGGAGCCCTACCTGCATCGCAGAGGAAAAAGTCCACCATTACCTCATCTTTGACTGCATCTCAAGGATAGCTCCTCAACCTCTTCGCCCGTTGAGAAGAAGTCGTGAACTCCACCAGAGTAGTCGCTTAGTTGCTATCAAGTAGTCTCAATTTGTTAGGGGACCACTATAAATTGTACGCCTCACCAACACTTGGGGGGCATCGCACTTTACTTGACCATGACTCTCTCTTCTCCCTCAAAGCTTGTACTCTCTGCTCCCCACACCCTTGAACTAATAAAAACACCCCGCGACCAAAGTCATTCAAGAGTGGACGTAGGACACATTGACTGAACCACTATAAATCTTGTCTATTCTAATTCTCTTTTTACTTTTACTGCATTTATTATTTACATTTAACAGGTGGTGTGCAAAACCATTTTGTGCATCATCAAATGTGACTGCTTAAGATGTTGCTAAAATATTATAATTTTATAGCTAAATTGGTTGTGTATACCAATTATTATAATGAATTAGATCAACAAAACATATCAACAATGCATCCATACAAGGGCCGAAGGAGAAAGCGCAGAATGAGATGCGGATAAAGCACAAAATGAGATGTGTATAAAGCACGAAAGAGGAGGCATGAGAAGCCAATTTTTTTCTTTGCACATAATGGGCCTATTAGGGCATGTTTGGTTTGGACATCAGGATATGGATAGTTTAGCGCACCAGGTTCTTGTAACCGCATGGTCTAGAGAAGATTAAATATCGACCACTATTGTGGTTTAAACCATTGTCATCCAGATCAAAATAGAAGAACCTTATCATTGTTACAAGGGTATGAGGAGGTTGGATATAACTAAACTCTATTTAGTTTGATTATAATTTAATGTAATATTTGAATCATGTGTATGGATTTTAGTTTTATGACATGAATTGATAATGGCCCGATGCAACATTGTCAAATAACACCACTTGGTACAAACCAACTCATTTTGATCGGGCTTTTTGATGAAATTGAGTACTAGTAATCTTTTCAAGAAATCTTTTATCTTTTTTAACCCAATACTATATATTAATCTATAGTCCATACATATGATTGATATTAGGACCAGATCCACATTGTATTGTAACCTTGAGCTAAATATAATATAGATGGGATACAACAAAATGATTAGATTATTATCATCATTAATACATTCGAATCAATTCTCAAATCTGATCCTCATGTACCCCAACTAATCAATTCTTAATTTAAAAATCTTAGAAAAACTCGATAAGAATTTTCAAAATGGCATACATTATGAGATAAAAAGTTTCCATAAAGTTGAAGCCTAAATCCAAAGAGTGACATAGGATTAGGAACACATCCCAATGTCCCAAAAGCATCCCGACGGTAAAAGCAATGGTATCCTCAAACATGCTGGCCTGCAGCGGTCTCTGCGAAACCAGTTCCTTGTCATCACCCTCCAACTCCGACCCAATACTGTTCTCAAAAGTTAAAATTTCCCACTTACCCAAAGAAGAAAGTCAAAACTTCCTAGCCAAATTCTCCAAGCCAATACCCACTTAACATCTGTTCTTTATTTTTATTTTTTGTAGGGTAAATTGTATTAGAGGTTATCAAAAGTATGATGTTTGTCTCATTTTAGTTTATAATATTTTTTAATTGCATCACTTTGGTCTTTTTAAATATTGAATATATTTCTATATGGTCCTTTAAACAGACAACGTCCAAATTGTTAATAATTTTTTAATCATAAACTTATCAGGTAATACTTAAATACGGATAAAAAATAATTTTGATAGCTTTTAAATAAAATTTGGGTAACTCTTGACAAAAAATGTGTAATGTAGGTAGCATTTGACTAAAATTGGGGTAACTCATGATAAAAAAAATGTGTAATTGAGTATCTATTTAACCAAAATTTGAGTAGAAATTTAGTTAAGAGTTATTTTTTATATTTTTGTCCATATTTATTTAAATATCACATAACAATTTTATGATAAAAAAATTGTTAGCAATTTGGATGTTATCCGATTGAGGGACTATATAGAAATATATTCAATATTTCATAGATCAAAATGATGCAATTGAAATATTAAGAGCTAAAACGAGACAAACCCTATATTTTGGGAACTTCCCGTGAAATTAACACTAAACAAAAAAAAATTTACCAAAAAAAAAAAAAAGAAAATAGCAAATTACATTGAGTTTGCTCTTTTCTTAGACAGAGTTTCATTGAAGTTGTCTAAAAACCCTTCACTCAATTTTAACTTTTCATCGAAGAGGATATTTTATTTTGGCAAAAATGCGGTTGGGAACGCTATATAAGTGGTGAAAACTTCAAAGTATACATCTGTAAACAATATTTGCTTATACGCACTCATCGATGCATTAACTGCAAGGTTAACTTACACTGCATACCAGCCTGTGTTGATGAATTACTCTAAGGCATACCAGTTGGATCAACAGCTGCACGAAAACTTTGAAATTTGCAATGACTTGTGGACGGGTGCAGACTGGATCTCAATCCAGGGTGGACTAAAATGTAGATAAAGAAACTTCACCAAATGATATAAGCTGTAATAGCTTAAGAAATATATCGATACAAATAATGTTATTGGAACCTAATTTACTGAACTAATTCACTATGACCTTTGAATTAACTGTGGGCTCCATCAAATAATAGAACTTTGTGTTTATCTAATGATTTTGATGAAGTCACGTCATTAAATCAGCAAATTATGTCAATTTTTTTAGGTCCAAATAGCATTTTCCTATCAATATTCAAAACTATATTCCTAGAAAAAAAATTAAAACTAACATTATTCAACCTTAAGAAGATATGGAACAAAAGAATAAAATATAATTTGTGTCTCAGCCGGTCACGCCTACATCACTATCCAAATAAGCCACCACATTATTTCATGTCTAGAAAGAATCAATCGTTGATTTTTTATGCAAAATTTCCAAGTAGTTTCCTTTAAATATACATATAACTCTTGATACCAAAAAAAAAAAAAAATTGTCGTTCAACATATCAAATATTCTATTTTTGACAATATACATAGTCGAAAATGATCCTCGTGTCTAATAGGTATCAGTAATTTGATTGATTAGTGAAATTCAGCTCATAACTCCATGTATTTATCGACTTGTACAAGAAATGGGTGAATAAAAAGTGAATGAAGACAGATTTTAATAGTCATTTTCATTTGCTAGTATCACAAAAAGATAAGTACCAATCAATGGGGGCATTAAATAAAAATATCAATAGTGTCTTTTATATGCAAAAAACACATATATGGGGGCAATCCAAATGTTTTTTTTTTTTTGGGGAGGGGAGTGGGGGGGTGCCCGAGACATTTTGGGTCCTAAAGCAGAAATGATAAATGAGGTATTTTTATTTTTAATATTAATAATAAATTTAATTTTTAATTTTTTTAAATACAAAAATATTAATTAAAATTTTATATTTAAATTTTTGGTATCATATTTGAATTTAATGGCAAGAGAGAGAGAGAATGATTGAAAAAACGGTAAGTTTAAAACTAGACTTTTTTTAGGGTTAAAACTAAATTTTTTTTGTAGTTTTACTTTTACATTCAATTTTTTTTTTTATTTATTTCAAAAAATTAATTTTAGGGCCTTTTAATTTTATGGTTGAATTAATAGGCCCAAATTATTTAAGTTAAAATATTTTGTTTAGACATAAATTAATTTTTTTTATTATTACTGTAGACCCGTAGATTATAGACCTTCTTTTAAAGTGGGACCTTCAATTTTTTTTGATTGAGCTTGTATTTTTATAAGACTTTTTTATAAGACTTAAAATATTTNAATTTAATTTTTAATTTTTTTAAATACAAAAATATTAATTAAAATTTTATATTCAAATTTTTGGTATCATATTTGAACTTAATGGCAAGAGAGAGAGAGAATGATTGAAAAACGGTAAGTTTAAAACTAGACTTTTTTTAGGGTTAAAACTAAATTTTTTTGTAGTTTTACTTTTACATTCAATTTTTTTTTATTTATTTCAAAAAATTAATTTTAGGGCCTTTTAATTTTATGGCTGAATTAATAGCCCCAAATTATTTAAGTTAAAATATTTTGTTTAGACATAAATTAAATTTTTTTTATTATTACTGTAGACCTGTAGATTATAGACCTTCTTTTAAAGTGGGCCTTAAATATTTTTTGATTGAGCTTGTATTTTTATAAGACTTTTTTATAAGACTTAAAATATTTATAGCTGACCCCCAAAGTATCATTTTAATTCGGCAGACGGCGGCAAGAAATGTTTGAATGTACAGATTGCTATTATTTCAACAAGAATCACTAAGCTACTATGTGAGTGTGCTATAAGATCATGTACTTGCCATGTTTTATTACTCTGCATGAGCTTTACCCTTTTTAATACTGCTGAATTCTCTAGAGCTTCTATGTATAATAACCGGGGGAATTTTCAATTCTTCTGTGAGCTTGAGAGGGAGACGGAGCTTTGTTCTGAATCCAAATATTCAAAAAGTGCATTTTGACTCTTCTTGCCAAACCTGTAAAAATGGAAGCAGGATTGCCTGGAAAAGACATGCGAAGGTCGATCAGGGGCAACTACCAGAATAGAGTTTTGCATCTCCCACATGGAGTTGGGACTCGCTGAGTGTTCAGGCGTCATTTTCAATTCCAGGAGGGGAAGCTTTTGATAGGAGTAGCAGAGAATATGATGAGGAGGAGCTAATGTGGGCTGCTATTGAGAGGCTTCCAACTTTCAGTGGGTCGAGGAAGNGGAGGATGAGTTTTGCATCTCCCACATGGAGTTGGGACTCGCTGAGTGTTCAGGCGTCATTTTCAATTCCAGGAGGGGAAGCTTTTGATAGGAGTAGCAGAGAATATGATGAGGAGGAGCTAATGTGGGCTGCTATTGAGAGGCTTCCAACTTTCAGTGGGTCGAGGAAGGGAATTTTGAGGCCAGTTTCAAAAACTGGAAGAGTTTTTCATAAAGAGGTTGATGCTGCCAATCTTGGAATGCAAGATAAAAGACTACTCATGGAAAGTACTCTTAAAGTTGTGGAAGATGATAATGAGCGGTTTCTTCAAAGTATCAGAGATCGTATTGATAGGTGACAGACGAACCCTTTCTTTAACCTTGTTGCAGCTACTGTTCAGGGAAAAAAAAAAAACCTTGGCGCAGCTTTGAGTCGTTCAATCTTTGATTTTTTGGATTACTTAAAATTGAGTTTTATCTTACTAATGCTTATCTTTAGATTATTTAAGTGTATAAGCTGTCTAGGAACTTCAATTTTTGTGCCAAACAGGGTTGGAATCGATATTCCTAAGATTGAAGTTCGATTTGAGCATTTGGCAATTGAGGGAGATGCTTATGTAGGATCTAGGGCGCTTCCTACCCTGCTGAATGCTACCTTGAATGTAATAGAGGTAGCTGATTGTGTTGCTTCACTTTTATTAATGAATTACAATATTTATTCAATTGTTCAAATGTAATAGGTGGTAGAATCACCCAAGATTACCTTTTGCACCAAAACTACTCAAACTGAAAATCATAGATGGGTGGCTGCTAAAAATGAAAAAATTTGCTGTTGTCCAAGTGAATATGTGGCCTTTCCTGCTACTATATGCCAAAAAAATTTGTGTTTGTTGGGATGGTTTGTGAGTTCTTTAGGAATTGGAGTAGAAAAAACTATATTTGCCCCCAAAAAAAAGAAAACTATATTATAGATTTTTTTTTTGTCAGCATTGTCGAAATAATCTATCCATGTGCAGAGTTAAAACTGTGTGCATCGAAGCCTCCTTAAAGTGGCGGGAGCCTTGTGTATGGAATTGCCCGATTTTTGTTTTTGTTTTTGAGCAATTAGAAGCATCATGAGAAGCATGATCTCAGTGCCATCCCAGTGCAAGGCAACTTAGGCAGTGGCTTAGGGCCCATTTGAGAAGGGGCCCCATTTTTTTTTTTTTTNAAAAACTATATTTGCCCCCAAAAAAAAAGAAAACTATATTATAGATTTTTTTTCTCTCGGCATTGTCGAAATAATCTATCCATTTGCAGAGTTAAAACTGTGTGCATCGAAGCCTCCTTAAAGTGGCGGGAGCCTTGTGTATGGAATTGCCCAATTTTTGTTTTTGTTTTTGTTTTTGAGCAATTAGAAGCATCATGAGAAGCATGATCTCAGTGCCATCCCAGTGCAAGGCAACTTAGGCGGTGGCTTAGGGCCCATTTGAGAAGGGGCCCCATTTTTTTTTTTTTTGTCTTAGTCATCTATGAAATCTCGTATTCTCAACATATACATATACAATGTAATTATTTGTATATTTTTCAATGTTACACTATTAAGTAATGAGTAATAAAATTTGACCAATTAGCTTATTTGCCGATATATCAAGTGGTATAGTTTCAATTAAGTTCAAGAGTTTTAGTTTTAATTATACTATTGGACTATATTAACTGTCATATTATTATGCAAGTAAATTAAATCAAAATTTTAAATTTCAAAATAATTACTCTTAAATTTTTTATTCTCACTAGACACAACTCTAGACTTACTGAAAACAATTTCTATACCTTTGTTATGTTCATTCCAAACCATAATTAATTTAATTCGCCTTTTCTCCATTGTTCTCTTGAGATCCGTATATTTAAAGGGTATGGGTTGGAAATATTTTTTTCTAACTTATATTTACATATAATTGCATCTTCAAACCCAAAAATAAAAAATAAAAAATTCTTGCTGCTAGTCTTTCCCTCCCTATTTCTTTCATTCCCTCCCACTTAAAAAATTATTTTTTCTCTCTTAAACGGGAAATAATATTATCAATATCTTGAGAATTTTTGAAACTGCGATTAATTTTCTGATNAGATTATTTTTTCCCTCTTAAACAGGAAATAATATTATCAATATCTTGAGAATTTTTGAAACTGCGATTAATTTTCTGATATTGATAAGTTAGATTTATTTTCGGAACTAAAATCTAACTATAGTTCTACATAAAATATTCAATCAGAAACATTAAAAATTGCATAAAAAGGCATATTGTTTTTTTTCAAATGCATGTACTAATTAATCAAACAATATTTATTGAGAATACCTGTATTGCCCTTGCAAAACAACTTTTTTTTTTTAATTCAAACTAATGAAGTCCTATTTGAGTTTAATTTAACATCTCAAAAAGAGAAAAGAATAATTTTTAAATAAAATTCTAATTATACCACTTGTATAATAATATTAAAATTCAAAAGACCCCATTTATAACTTTCGCCTAAGGAACGGATTGTTTCGGCCCGCCTCTGCATGCTCTCTAAGATCATGATAAGGCTAGCCAACTTTGGATACATACATTTAAAGGCATATAGAAATTTCCAGAAGATTCTTGGATGCTATTGTCTGTGGATACCTGATAAAATTGCTTGCATGATAGACCTTATTTAATTGAGAAAGTATAGAGTTAGAGAGGTTGAAGCTTAAGGTAGCTTCTGTTAAAAAAATGGGGGATGCCATTGCAGTGAAGGAAGAGAAAGAAGGGAACATGTCTGATAGAATGATGGAGTTAGCTGTTAGTATTATTGCTCAAGGCTAGTAGTATTGTTTTCCACATACAGAAAGTACAAGTCAGACTTGCACATATAAGGACTTGTTGATTGTCTGTTCTTGCACATTCATGCTACTTTTTGCTAAGTCTTAGTCATGAATTAAGGAATCTCAGATTAAAATTAGATGCTTCAACTTGTTTGATTCTTCATTTGTGGTGATTAATTCTTCAAGTTCTTCGCTTATTTGTAGTAAGCAATATCCTCTTTTGTTTTGGTTTGATCTTTTAATGTTTCTGAGAGAGATGATGACTCCATNTCTGTGGTGATTAATTCTTCAAGTTCTTCGCTTATTTGTAGTAAGCAATGTCCTCTTTTGTTTTGGTTTGATCTTTTAATGTTTCTGAGAGAGATGATGACTCCATATTATGAAAGTGTGTCTTTTTAGAAGAGATAAATTTTGCTTTAATTTTAATTCATTGTTGTCAATAGGAGGTTCTTGGAGTAATGAAGCTTTTTCCGTCTAAGAAAAGGGTTGTTAAGATACTTAATGACGTGAGTGGAATTGTGAAACCATCAAGGTAAGTTGAGGGAAGTAATGCAAATGTTCTAATAAGCGTTTATTTACAACACCAGTTTTCCACGTCTGCACAGCCATAATGAAGAAGAAAAAAATTGTATAAGCGCAAGAAATGTTCATGATTTGTGTTATTGAATTTCATGTCCATGCTTGTCAACTATATTTTTAGGATGACACTACTTCTTGGGCCTCCAGGCGCTGGAAAGACGACATTGTTGAAGGCACTTGCTGGAGAGCAGGACAAGGCTTTAAGGGTATGTATAGTCAAAAATGACATCACAAAGTTTGAAATCTTTCTTATATAGTAGAAAATATCATTGTGTTTGTGGTCTTTAACATTGTGGACAGGTAACCGGAAAAGTCACTTATTGTGGTCACGAAATGTCAGAGTTCATTCCTCAGAGGACTTCGGCCTATGTTAGCCAACATGACCTTCACCACAGTGAGATGACAGTTAGAGAGACGTTATACTTCGCAAGACGTTTTTTGGGAGTTGGAACTAGATATGACCTCCTAGCAGAATTGTTGAGAAGAGAAAAGGATGCACGAATCAAACCTATCCCGGAGATAGATGCATTCATGAAAGCCACAACAATGGTTGGCCAAGAATCTAGTTTGCTCACAGATTATGTTCTCAAGGTTTGTTTCCTCAATTTTCTGGCATCTAATGTCTAATGTATCAACCCGAACTAGCACCTTGAGATGACCATTAAGTTGATATAACAGATACTTTGATTAGATAACTGTGCTGATATAGTGGTCGGAGATGAGATGAGGCGGGGTATCTCCGGTGGACAGAAGAAACGTGTCACAACCGGTATGTGAAAAGTATTTTATCCCCCCCCCCCCTCCCCCCCCCCC